GCCATATTCTGAATTATCTAAAAATAACGTCTCTCTCATATGAGGGGTAAACATACCCAAAAGCTGATATATATAAATGTGCAGGCTGGCGAAGCCGCCATGAAAAACTACTGATATACAAAATATACAGGACTCGTCTACAAGCCTCTAAAGATAATAGAAATGTATCATGGTCGGGGCAGGGCCTCGACCTACCAATCAAACATGTATATATAAAATGGACTCTAAGGTCTAGACCTGGTAATTCCGAAGAAGTGGAGCTTACCAACCAAGCTGATGTTTGACTCTGTCAGCTGGGAGGGTCTGTCCAACTATCTATCATGACCTGCAGGCATGAAATGTAGCGTCCCCGGCAAAAGGGACGTCAGTACAAAACAATGTACCGAGTATGTAAGACAATAGAATAACTGCAAGCTACAACTGAACTGATAACATAATAACTGAAAGTAACTGGGAGTCAAAGATAATCTGAAGATATGCTTACCCGCTGATATTGAATCAACTCTCTTAATATAGTAAGTAAAATAGTTGTCCGCCCTATAAGGCTTGGTATATGTAACTGCTCTACCGTAGTAGGCTCGCTCATAGGCGCTCGGCCATACTAGACTCTGTATCTCGGCCATTCTGGGCTTGCTTATAAGCACTCAACCACAGTAGGCTCGGTATATAACTTACAATCTGATCAGAGGTTGCCCAATAGGGGCCTGTCCATCGATTATAGCTTAATGGTAGTGAAAATATTGTAATACTGTATATATATGGACTCTCTGCTCTCTTGGATGAAAGAATACAAAACTAAACTGAATATAAAGTCCCGATAAGAGAGAATATTGTAACTTATGAGACTAAGACCAATGTACTCAATTCCTAAGATCAAGTTTCTAGAGATACACACCAGAGTCCAAAATGATGAGTAGCAATGTTTATCCGGATTCAAAATATGGTATTATATATTTATTTTTTCCATAGGTTATAAACTCAACTTATTACAAATACCCACGGAATCTTACCATCTAAAATTCAGGTGATTGGAGTCCGCCAACTGAAACCATAAACGTCATACACCCAATAAAAGGATATCATAAGAGTTTATTTGTCTAAATAATGAACCGACCTCCTCCGATCCACTCTCATTCACCCCACTGATGATTGACATGTAAAAGTGGATTTTCAGAAAGATAACAAAATCATCAGGTAAAAAGATGTACCTTTCTTTTCAGCTTTAGGTTTAACTTTAGCAGAAACTTCCTATAAAAAGCAGAACATTTATGTTAGACCATAAACCAAATCATTAAGCATACTCTTTAATGAATTGAAACCAGCAAAAGTATACATACATTGAACCGCTGCATCGATTCCTCTGCTTTAGCAGCATCAACCTCCTCTTCAATATTTTCTCTGGAAGCAATAAGAATAGCAAATTATAGTCCCAGTAAAGAATAAGAAAACTAGATAAATCCAACAGATTCAAGTTTTGGATTATTACGGTTTAGGTAGAATAGTCTTTTGTGCTCTACGAGGAGGACCTTTGGGTGCAAATCTCACCTGCATAAATCAAACAAACATTGTATTCGAATAACAAAAATAAGAATCAATCAGATATATAAAACAATGTTTGTTTGTTATATTAATGATTTTAGGACTCGATTATATATCTGATTGATTCTTATTTTCTCCTGTAGACATTTTCTCCTGTAGTTAAAATGGTCACAATGAGTGTGGTCATTGCTCTTGCAGCTATGAATAAGTGGAATCTTTACCGGATGGATGTTTACAGTGCCTTCCTTCAAGGTGATCTTGAGGAGGAAGTCTACATGCAGCTTCCACCAGGTTTTGGTAGTCAAGGGGGGAACAAGGCTTGTAGACTACACACATCCTTGTATGGGCTTAAACAAGCATCAAGACAGTGGAACTTGAAGCTTACTGAAGCACTGTTGAAGGCACACTTTGTGCAAAGCAAGCACGATCATTCTCTGTTCACCTTGAAGAAAGACACTAAGCTTGTCATCATCCTTGTATGTTGATGACCTTCTTATCAGAGGAAATGATGCAACCTTGATTCAAGAAGCCAAGACCATTCTTCACAAGGACTTCAAAATTAAGGATTGGGTCTTTTGAAATACTTCTTGGGAATTGAAGTTAGTAGATCACATAAGGGCATAGTACTGTGTCAAAGGAAATATGCAGTGAACTTATAGTAGAATTGGGACTGGCAGGATCTAAACCTGCAATTACACTAATGGAGCAAAACAGGAAGTTGACAACAGTCGAGAGTGATGCACATTGCAGCTTAAAGGATGATCCAACACTCACAGATGTAAAAAGATATCAAAAGCTTATAAGGAAGCTTCTATATGTGACATTAACTAGGCTTGATATTGCCTATGCAGTGGAGACTTTAAGCAAGTTTATGCAAGCTCCTAAAAGGTCTCACTTGGAGGCAGCACATAGGTTGGTAAGATATTTGAATAATGAACCAGGATTAGGCATTCTTATGAGTGTAGATGGTGATATAACTTTAAGAGCATAGTGTGATGCAGATTGAGCAGGTTGCCCAAACTCAAGAAAGTCAGTAACATGCTACTTAGTAAAGTTTGGAAAATCTCTAGTCTCATGGAAGTCAAAGAAGCATAATACAGTGGCAAGGAGTTCAACATAATCAGAATATATAAGCATGGCACTAACAGTCTCTGAATTGATCTGATTGCTGGGAGTTTTCAAGGAAGTAGGAGTTGATTTATCCACTCTTAAAGCAGCAATGCAGATAGCAAGCAATCCAGTGTTTCATGAACGAACCAAACATATAGAGATTGATTGCCATTTTATAAGAGAAAAGGTGCAAGAGGGATTGATTCAACCTGTGTATGTCTCAACAGAAGAATAAACAGCAAACTTGTTAACTAAGGGACACACTTTTTCTTGCTAGGTGTAATCCGTTGGACATAGATCCAATTTTTCACTTTTTTGGATTCCTTGAAATTTCTTTTTCCTGTTCCCGGTGGTATCAAAACGCAGGTATATCGGGATATCTTATCTGTCTCTCCAGGAAAATGGATATCTCCAGAAATAATTTTAAGTTCAATTCGTTTTTTTTCCCTCTCCACCCGGACCAACCCACCGACTCAGCTTCTTAGATTTAAGGTGACTTGGGAGTTTGCAACATTACCACCTGATGTGCAAGCTAGGTGTTTTGAACATCTTCATGGCACCTAGCTTGAAGGGGGTGTTGAGATGGTTAGAATGATAACTGGTGATAGTTGTGAAGCTGAATGCTTAGAGGGTGACAAAGTTAGTCAGGTGACAATTGTGTACTGTAGGAAATTTAGTTAGTTAGTTAGTTAGTGGAGTAAATGTTAATTATATATATACTCACGTGTACAGTATGTTAGGATGATTTTAGCCATTGTAATCATTTTCATTCTTTGCAATTGAGATCTAGTTACTTCCAGAACCTTCTTTTTCTTCTTCCTTCCTTCGATTCGATATGAGCTTCAATTCTCCCCTCTACAATGGTAGAATTTATCAAATTTGTAATGGGTCCACATGCTCGTCAAAAATTTGTCACGAAATTGTAACAGATTTCATGTTTGCCCCAAATTTGTAATGAATGCATTCCTCACAAATTTTATCTTTTAAATAAAAGAAATGTGCAACAAATTTCCGAGAAAGTTATATGTCTGTCAAAAATTTGAGAAACTTGTCATCACAAATTTTCGGTCACAAATTTATTATTGCAATGATACTACAATTCAAACTGTGGCATCTTGATCATTAGATTGTCCTCCCCGTCTATATATTTGAAGTCGCAAATGATATCTCCGCAGTGGGCAGATGAGGAATCTCATGAATTTAATGGGTAAAAGAAAAAAGAAAAAAAGAAAGATATCTTCGCAGTGGAATTGACAAGGAAATACGTTCTCTCGCCATTTCAATTTATATGAACCTATTTGACTTGACAAAAACTTTAAGAAGAAAAAAAAAAAAGCTTTTGAACTTATGGTGTAAAATGAGACACATATATTTTGTATGGGCATGTATCGTTACATAAAGGTAAATTATTTCCAAAATATGAAAAGAGATCAATCATTCTTTTTTGCACGGACTAAAAAAAAAAAAACCTTTACATAAATTGAAACGGAGTGTTACCTTTTCTATAGAGTTGTTGTTGACAATACATGTCTTGTTTAATATCGCTATTTTTTATTTAATAAAATTTTCATAAAATAGCAAGAGAAATGGTGTGTTAAAAGGTCTACTTTCTTGAGATTTTTATCAGAATTTTTAGCCAATTACGATGATGGTACGCAATAACATCATTATTCTGATTTTTGTATTTCTGCAGCAAATGAATCTAATCACGTACTCCCTCCGTTTCAATTTATGTGAACCTATTTGATTGGGCACGAAGTTTAAGGGAAAAAAAGACTGTTGAAATTTGTGGTCCTAAAAAGTCAAAAAGGTGCCCAGAGTATTTGTGTGGTTATAAAAGCTTCCCATTAAGGGTAGAATTGTAAGTTTAAGTTAAATTGTTACAAAATTTAGAAATGGGTCATTCTTTTTGGAACTTACCAAAAAGGAAATAGGTTCACATAAACTGGAACAGAGGGAGTACTACTTAACTCTCTATTTTCAGGATATCTTGGAGGAAAAGGCTAAGCACTCTGATAATTGTATTATTGTAACCAGTGGCGAAGCTAGGAATTTTTCTAAGGGTGTTCAAATTTAAAAGCAGTGAAAAAATTTCCCGATAAAGGGTGTTCAGTATGTGTTATATACCTCTAAAACATAATATTTTACCTATGTATACAGTGCAATTTTTCGACAAAGGGTGGTCAACACCACGTGACTTCGCCACGGATTGTAACTGACCACCCTTATGACCACGTGCTGCATATAAGCGTCATCTTTAAGAAAAAGTTTAAGAAAAAGTCGGATAACACCCTTTACTAAGGGTGTCTCCGTTACTGCATGGATGAAACAGAGTAGCTAACATTTTTCCGCCCAAAAAAAACATTTAGTCTTCTTTATTCCATTCTTCTTACTAAGAAAACAAAGGTTTCGTACCATCATAAGAGTAAGACAACATCAAATGAAAGGACTTCAAATAACTTAGTAGGAAGCAAAACAAACACACAGATAATATATGTAAACTTTCTAACAACTTGGAACTAATGAAGCAAATTCAAGAAGCTCAGGATCACGTTCGAATACAGACATATCTTGTTCACTGAGTGTCACAAATGCATCCAGTCCTCCACTTTGATTACCCATCAAGATAGCCAACTTGTTATTTAGACCATTTGCTATACTCACCTTTGTAGGCTTTCCCCATCCAAAATCGATTTCGTGAAGTGCAAATTTCACTAAGCTAGTAATTTGATACGCATTAGGCCCATTGTCATGATATTCCTGTTTCGAATTAGCTAGCTCAAGCAATAACGCCACAAATATGTTGTCATTGATGTTGTCTTTGTTGTAAGCTAGCTCTTTTGATTTCCTTATTTCACTGACTAATTTTGATATTGTCATACTTTGTTCAGTGATTATTGATGTTGGACAGATAGTAAGAAGATTTCCAATAGCATTTGGAGGCAAACCAATTTGTGCTCGCAAATCAACTGCTTGAACCATTGATGATGGTTGGAAAAAACCCAAGTTTGCCTTTGCTGCTGCAACAGCACGTTTAAAAATAAGTGCACTCACAACTTCTGTACGTGTCGGATTTTGCACCTCTGATTCAGCAGCAACCTTGTTCTTAAGGTTAAGTAATTTTTCGTTAGAGAAAATGTACTTTCTTTGAACACAATCATGTTTGTTTGACATGAATAACGGGGAAAGAAAAGGACCACTTGATAGTGGAGGAAAAATAGATTGTTCAACATAGTGAAGAGATGGTTTTGAAAAATTTGGATCGCTAGTTATCTCAGACCAATCGCGAAAAAGATTGTACCCACTGCATCCATCACCAGTCTTGTGTGATATACACATACTGATTGCTATTCCTCCACAACTAAAATAGCTGAGCTGAACAACAACTAGTCCGCGATCTGCACTATTCGACCAAGGTAATCCTTGAGGAAATAGCAAATCTTCTACAGCTGAATTGTGCCAGTTAAGAGTTTGTGATATTGGGCAACTGATTTGAACTTCAATGAATTCGGCCCCCGTGTCATTACAATCAACCACAGTATTATCCTTAAGCCTTCCGGCATATGGATAATAAGTGGACAAGATTTTCGATAAAGATTCCTCAAGAAGATGTGATATTTGAGTAGGATTATTATTCTTTGAAATAGCATCTAGTTGTTGTTTGGTGTAGAAAAGGGAAAATGGAATGTAAGAGTTGCTGAAAGCTTGATCAATAAGAGAAAGTTTGTGCCATCTTTTAGTAGGAGGAGTTGGAGAAGAAGGTTTGATGAGCTTCTCAGAAATTATGGATACAAGTGGAAGAGAAATGGTGGTGGCAGAGAAGGGCTTGTTTATTTTTTCTGTAGTAGTTCCTATAGGCGATTGAGCAATTGAGGCCATTTTCCTATCTCTGTTTGATAGAATAATACTTAGACTATTGGAAGGCAATGTTTCTTTTTGTTCTATAACAACCTTTGTGGTTTAGCATATTTATAGCCGACAACCTTGAGCAAGAGTCGGATGTTTTCACTTTTGAAGATTCTTTATTGGTATGCTAACAATAGAACACCTGATCAATTAAGTGGATGAAAACTGGGAAGACCAAAGTTCAAATACTATCTAACATCCGTAGGTAATTTCTTCATATCTGTCTTAATTTTAGCGGCAATTACTGGATATTCGTGCTTATTAGAGAGCTGATACCTAATAGCACAAACTAACTTGAACACCACCACAAGAAAAAAAAACTTAAGTGAATGACCTTTGTTTGAAAATGGTACAAAATAATCGGTTACAATATGAATAGAAAAAATGACCTTACAAAGATCTCCTACACTTACTTTGTTTGACTAGCTACATATTCCTTCCGTTTCAATTTATGTGAACATGTTTGACTAGGCACGGAGTTTAAAAAAAAATGAAGACATTTGAAATTTGTGGTCCTAAACAAATCAAAAAGGGGCCTAGAGTATTTATGTGGTTATAAAAGCTTCTCATTAAGGATAGAATTGTAAGTTTAAGCTAAATTGTTACCAAATTTAGAAAGGAGTCATTCTTTTTGACACGGACCAAAAATGAAATAGGTTCACATAAATTGGAACAGAGGGAGTATAATTTAAGAAAAAAGAAAATACTTTTGAACTTGTGATATAAAATGAGACACATATCTTTTGTATGATATTAAATATACATAAAGGTTAATTATTCCCAAATATGACAAGTGATCTTTCTTTTTGGCATGAAGTAAAAAGGAAATAAGTTTAAATAAATTGAAACGGAAGGAGTATATTTTACTAATTTCCGAAGTCTTAATATAAACGTTCTCACGTGAAATGGGCCATACAATTAATGTAACAACCATACGACGGCCGAAATCGATCTTTGCTGACTATAGTTTTCTCTATCGGTACGCTAAAGGACTACAATTTTCTCTATTGTTAAGCTAGCTAAAAGGGTCTCTTACATATTTTAAGTATCATGACACGACATCTCCCTGTTTTATCATATTTTAAAGGGAAAAGGGCCAAATACACCTCTAATTTCGAATATTGTTTACATTTTACCTTCGTTATATTATCGGGCCAAATTTTCTCCTACCGTTATATTATCGAGCAAATTTACCTCTACAATCAGCAAATTTTAATAAATTACCCCTCAGTCCATCAGGTGACCCAAAATCTCACAAATTATTTTTATATAAGTTACTGATTCTTCTTCTTGGTCCACTATTTTCGAAATAATTGGTATTTACATGCCTTTTGAGTTAGAGAAAAAAATAAGAGAAAAAATATTAAATAATACAACCGAATAAACAAAGTATAGTAAATTGAAAAATCTAAACTAGGTAGCTTTTCTAAATTCTAAAAGTATTTACAATAACCCAATTTTAATGAATTAGTTGTACCAAGTGTATGGAGACTTTGAAAGTATTAGTGATTGTATACGGTCGAAATCGGAGAGCTCGATTTCGAGGACTTAATGGTACCTCGGGCTCGAGTTCAGGCGGCACGAAGTAAAGACCAGATCTGACTGGAAAACGCATACCTCGAGGGAGCAAATCGGAAACCCGTCATGATCTACCTCAAGGGCAGTACAATTTCGATGACACTCAAGAAAGGGCGAGAATTTCTCAAGGACACGTGGATCAGGGCATAAATTATGGGATAAGATTTGTATAAAATAGTACGAGTCCGTACTAGGTTGTTATACAGCTGTACCAATAGAATTCTTTACCATAATTGGGAATGTACCATATTAGGGTTTTCCCCTCCTATATAAAGGGGACCCCAATCATTTTGTAAAGACAGATCTCATTCACCGCAATAGAGCATTTTACTCTGCTTTTCTCGTCTAGTGTGCTCCACAATTATTCTTCAGCTTTATTGTTTTTACTTTATTGTTCATACTTTATTTGCTCTTAACTAACCTTGAGGCTCCCGAGATAATCGAGCTCTTGGTCCCCGTTGCTCTAACAACACTAGTTTGGTTCATCAATTCTTCTTACTTAAACCTAATATTACTTGTATATTCACTAGTATTGGAATAAATTACATATCTTTAAAACTACAAATCACCTTTAATTGTTACTCATATTTTTCGAGGTAAACAGTTTGGCGACCGCCGTGGGCTAAAGATAATTGTGATTATTTTAGTGCTAGTTTTCTGATAACACACGTTATTCTTCACACTTTCTCTTGTCAAAGATTCTTTGATTTCAGGCTAAGATATGTCTAGCTCAGCAAACGCACCCGTGCATGGAAACGACGGTCTCGGATCCTATAGAGAAAACAATGCAACAGCTACAGGGACCGGTGTGCCACCGCTAAACCCTGGGGTAGCACCAGCGCCAAACCCCGTCGATGTTGGTTCACACATTGCCGGGAACGTCGATTTGGACACTAATGTCGAAGGAAGTGTACGCGGAGGGGATCAACCTGACGCTCAAAGGACACAGGCTTAAGGAGAAAGATAAGTTAGTCTACAAGTGATTTTTGAGATGTTGCAAGCACAACAAGTTGCTATCGCTCAGTTACAGAGTCAGCAAAAGACTTCGAGCGTGGCTGGGCCAGAAACCGCTCATCGTGTTGAGCCAACCCCAGAGAGACTACCCTCGTACCGAAGTAGAAAAGGAACTCTTGCTAAAAAGGGGTACGTCATCGGGGGTATGGACCCTCTTCACAGACAGTGCCTCGAATGTGAAAGGATCCGGGCTCGGCATCGTTTTAAAACCGCCTACGGGCAGTGTCATTAGGCAATCTATCAAAACTTCTAAATTGACTAACAATGAGGCCGAGTATGAGGCCATGATTGCAGGTCTCGAACTAGCCAAGGGCCTTGGAGCAGAGGTCATCGAGGCAAAGCGTGACTCCCTTTTGGTGGTAAATCAAGTAAAAGGGAACTTCGAGGTTCGAGAGGATCGAATGCGGAGGTACTTAGACAAACTTCAAGTGACATTGCACCGCTTCAAGGAATGGACACTGGACCATGTACCTCGAGAATAAAATAGCGAGGCCGATGCACTTGCAAACTTGGGGTCATCGATTGAAGAAGATGATATCGTCCCGGGGACTGTCGTCCAACTATCGAGGTCTCTTTGGGTTCGCAAGGTGATCAGAGCGGGGTATTATTGGGATAGCATAGAAAAGGATACCAAGGAGTTCGTTCGAAGGTGTGATAAATGCCAAAGATTTGTACCGATGATCCATCAACCCGGTGAACAACTCCATTCGGTTCTATCCCCGTGGCCATTCATGAAATGGGGGATGGACATCGTCAGCCCCCTACCAAGGCGCCAGGTAAAGCTAAATTTATTTTGTTTATGACTGACTACTTCTCAAAATGGTTAGAAGCGCAGGCCTTCGAGAAGACAAGAGAAAAAGAAGTCATCGACTTCATATTGGACCACATCATATGTTGGTTCGGGATACCTGCCAAAATAGTATGTGACAATTGGAAACAATTCATCGGTAGCAAAGTGACCAAATTCCTCGAGGACCATAAAATCAAAAGGATTCTATCCGCGCCTTACCACCCAAGTGCAAATGGTCAAGCCGAGTCCACAAACAAAATCATCATTCGAAACTTAAAGAAAAGGTTAGATGATGCAAAGGGGAAATGGAGAGAAGTATTGCCCGAGGTGCTATGGGCATATCGAACGACGTCAAAGTCAAGCACAGGGGAGACCCCGTTTTCCTTAGTATACGGGTCCGAAGCATTGATCCCAGTCGAACTCGGGGAACCTAGCATCAGGTTTCAGCATACCACCGAAGACTCAAACCACGAAGCCATGAACACTTCTCTCGAGTTACTAGACGAGAAACGTGAGGCCGCAATAATTTGAATAGCCGCGCAAAAACAAAGGATCGAAAGGTATTACAACAGAAGGACGAACCTTCGATATTTTGGAGTCGGGGACTTAGTCCTAAGGAAAGTCACTCTCAACACTCGAGACCCAAGCGAAGGCAAACTAGGCCCCAATTGGGAAGGACCATACCGCGTCCTCGGAGTTGTAGGGAAAGGATCCTACAAACTTAGCACAATGGAAGGCGAGCAACTACCAAACAATTGGAATATATCGTTGCTCAAACGCTATTACTGCCGAGGTATGACCTTCTCCCCCTTTTTCCATTCGTATTTAAAACTAACTCCTTGCAGATGTTCGATTGGAAACATCGAGGCACCTTTCAGCCCGAAGACCTTGGGTTTTAAAGCATGCGTTGCACTCTTTTTCCCTTAGATCAGATTTTATCCCAAATGGGTTTTACCGGCAAGGTTTTTAACGAGGCAACACCTATATGCTACCTAAGGAATATTCAACAAGTATTCAAGGCTTCTTTTCAATTAACGTCGAACACTGGGGGGGCATCACCCTCGGAGGACGCATTCTCGAAGAAAGCAATTCATGCCAAGAAGGGCCTCGATAGGGGAATGTTATAATAGGCCAAACGGTCAACTGAACCGTGTCCATGTAGAATAGTCGAACCCCCAACGGCAAAACATGTACGCATGTATCAATTATTTGAAGAATCATTCTTATTATATCAAAACACTTTGTGCCTCAAAGAAGTCTACTATTTTCACATTTAACGGCTCAAGGTCCAAAACCCCGAATGCACCCGAATACTCGGGGACTGTTATCGACAATCGACACATCGATTCATCGAACACTCGAACTTATAAGACCTCAAAGAGGCACACTCAAACTTATAAGACCTCAAAGAGGCACACTCGAGCTCACAAGACCTCAAAAAGGCACCCCCTCGATATTAAGGACAAGGCCATCACACTCGGAGACTAAAGGCTACGGCCATATAAAAGACTACGGTCACATGAAAAGGCTACAACCAAAATAATGCGGCTCGGAGATGTCCGACTTCCGCCATAAAACTAAAAAGCCTTCATATACTTCGAAAAAACCGGTTAAATCAGGCTACTCTCGGCAAAAGCAAATTATAAGGGGCTTCGATATAATCAGGCCTCGAATAATGCGAAGGCTTCGAT